ATTTTTTCATAAAAAGTCAAAAAGTTAACCCAAACATCCATATTTTCAATCTCAATTTTTTAGTTCAAAAAGACAAAAAATACACTTATTTAAGACACCCCAAACAACCCCTTACTTGAAAATTCTTCTGTATATATACTCAACGAAAATATGTGTTTTCATGTATTACAAGTTATACTTTTATTTTAAGAGTATTCTTGTATTTAATAAGAGTAATATTATATGTATAAACATATATTTCTCATAAAATATGTATAATAAAATAATGTGGCCTTTTATAATCATTTTATTTTAACAATAATGTTAGGGACTCAGAAAATTTGTCCCAAAAAATTTCAAAAAAAGTACTCCCCCGTCTCAAAATATTAGTCCCTTATTCTATTTTTTATTGTTCCAAAATATTAGTCCCTCTTTAAAAGTCAAGTACAAAAATAATATAAATTTCCTATTTTGTCATTCTTTTAAATTAATAAACAATATGAAAAGTACAATTATGACATTGATATTCTCAAAAAATGTACTATCAAAAGGGTAATTTTGGAACATTAACTTTTTTCAAATGCAATAATTGTACTATCAAAAAAAGTTGGATTCCCTAAAAATGACCATTATTTTGGGACAGAGGGACTATTATGATTGTGGGAGCCGAAAATAAGTTATACTTGAAAATGGCAAATAGAGCATCCGAACCCGTCTAAGATGTGCCAAATAAGGCCGCTAGACTATGTCATTACCGAATAAACGTCCAAATCAACATGAAAATGTCAGGGAGCACTGAATAGCAGGTACTTGTGCTGAATAATAGAGCCAAGTGAGTTGGGCAAGTCGGCATGACCCCATTAAGTGGGACCAGACTATCCCTTTCAAGGAAGTATAGTAGGGGATGGGCCCTGATAGAATGATAATGAAGGGCTAAGCTGCATGGAATAAAGATCAATGAGAATAACTCTATAAAAAAATAAAAAAAAAAGGAGGGAGGGAGGCTGGAGAAACATGGAGGAAAAAAAAAAAATCTTGAACCTCAAGAAATCAAAAAAACACCAATCTTTCTACAGAAACCAACTTATCCGTCAGAGTGCTAATTATGGCAC